TTAATTTCAAGAAAGGCTGGGAAATGTAGACTTGCTGTGTGCCCAGAAGAAAAATGGAAACACTGGGGAATATGCAACCAACCGGTTTTTGCCAGTGGCCATGGGAGGTAAATGTCTTCTAGCTCTCCATCCTTGCATTCCAAGCAAGAGACTGAGATCCACCCTATTGGATGGCCTGGGTCACTTGCACATTCCCAAATTGATAAACTGACCAACAGACTGGAGTGGGCTGATGACCTTCAGCCCATCAGAGCTCACTTCTTGAGCCTGGGTTGGGGTCAGCTTTCTGTGAGAGGCCTGGGCTGCATGGCAAAGAGGTAACTATGTTAGGAAATGGGAGTGGATGGCAAATGGAAAACTAATAAAAATGTTCATAATATCCACAGTGAGCCTTAGTTCTAGAAAAACTGAGATAACAATACATGTGATCTGGTTACTAAAATTTGTGCTTGGCAGTTCAGGGAAGAGGAATATCTTTCCTTCTCATCTTTCCTTTAAATTCATGGCTGGAGTCCCTAAAACAAGAGACTGATTAACAAGGGAAAAGCATACATATTTAATATGTTTTATATGGCATGGGAGTCTTTGTACAGGAAAGGAAGACCCGAAGCAATGGGCAAACCTGTATATTTTTTATGAAGGATTTGGTGAAGAAGAAGTGGAAAATCATGGAGAAGTATAATAAAAAGGAATATAATTTAATGGAAGTAAACTGGAGGAAGGAAGACTTAGCAAGACCTGTTTGTTCAGATTCTTCTGTGTCCCTCTGTCTATAAATATAAGGATGTCCCTTTCCTCCTGAAATACAGAGGGCACCTCTTATGTGAAAGTCATCTGACCTGCTATGGGGGAGAAGGATGGGGCAAGTGGTCTTCTTGCTTCTGCCATTTCTTTCAGGTTAATATAGTTTGGGGTAGTGTATCCTGAATCCCATTTATAGCCACTTGGACACATTGAATGAAGCCAGGGCCCTGGGCCTAGCAAGTTGGGGTCAAAGCTGAGAAAGTACAAAGCAACAGAAGTCACCAGATCTTGTGTTGCACACCTGCCCCTGCTTCCTTAGATCCCCCTGCTGCTGGGAACATGACTGAATCCTTGGAGGAGCAGAGCAGCCCCCATCTAGATTGCAAAGTTTCAGAGGCTGAAAATGAGAGAAGCGGGTAGGTTCATATTCCACTCTCTTCCATGAATGATGCAGAGATGTATTGCGAAAGTGAGTGTACGGATTTCCTTATTCAAAACACCAAAATAGGGGCTGGGGGTGTAGATAGCTCAATGGTAGAGCACAGGCTTATCATGACCCAATCAATTAATCCCAAACCTTAACTGTTAGGATGTGAGACCTAACTAACTCCATTTTAAAGTTTGACTCCATCTTAAATATAAGACAATAAAATGGCCTTCACATAAATTCCACTTCACTGAAGTCAACTATTCCCCTAGTCTCCTTTGTGCCCATAAACTAATGATAAAATGTCCTTGCTGTGGGACAACAGATAAAAAAAAGAGACACAGCTCCTAACTCAATCCTCTGTCTGCCCAGAAAACAGATGCTCCCGGGCCCATTATCTATAGAACATTCTGTCAATGTGCTGATTGTTCCTTTTTCCCATAAACTCTACATGTAGCCACCCCTAAACCCCCCATGCTTGCTAAATACCAACCAATCATGTAACTGCTAAATGAAACATCCCCAAACCTTGCGGTAGCCACAATAAAAACCCTGCTGATTTGAAATTCGGGGCTCTCAATCCTGATCCGCTGCATCGGTGATGGTTGAGTGCCCCTGCACGAGCTTAAATAAACGACCCTCGTGTGTTTACATCGGAAACGGCTCCTTGGTGGTCTTTGGAGACTTCGTGATCTGGACACAACAAGGATAATATATACTGAATGTACTGTTTCTCCCACTACTACTTTTGATCTGTTTTTGCTAGATTATGTCTTTACTCACAAGTGAACCAATAATGCCCTTTAACCCAGCTAGAGTAGATTTACCCACCATCCATTCTATCACCTGAAAATATAAAGCTAACTTTATCTCTACAGTCCTACACCCCTTGATTTTATAAATTTTTAATTCATTTTTCATATTTGTTTTTAGAATCACAATAGCCAAATGTACCTGATACCCTTAGATTGCCTTTATGGTCAAATTTTATGTATAGGATTTTGCTATTATTGATGGAAAAAAGAATGTTTAGGAAACTTGACATGTGAAGTGAAATGTTTTTTTAAAATCTAGAACATATTCCCAAAACATCATCTTGCTTTCTGGACAAACCTGTTCAGTGATGTTTCCCACCCATCTGTATGAGCCAGGCTGGGTGATGACAGCTCAGGGTGTGTGGGAGGGAGGGAGGATAAACAGAAGAGGGATAGGAAGCCAACTCAACTTGGGAAAGATCGTCTTTTACATGGGCTGTAATATACTAACTAAAACTTGGGGATTTTTCACTAAAAAAAACCCAGATTAGATAGGGGAAAGAATTTTTTATTCCCTGTTGATGTCCTAACAAAAATAAAAGCATGATAATTTAAAGATTTTATGTCTTTTTTCATATACTTTTAATTCTGTTAAAGGTAAAGCAAATAAATAGCTGATTTAAAAAGTGAAGCTTACCTCTTTCAGTACAGTATAGCACTTAATTTAATTAGATTTATGATATCAGTATGCTTGGTTGGGCAGCATGCAAGAGAGTTTGCTTGGAGGGATGTAGAAATATTCAGGAACCAAACACTGCTTCCCACCTGGACTATTGCACTTAATTGAAATCAGGAAAGTTCATGCCAGACCTATGTATGTGCCTTATTACAGAATTTAGTGCCACAAAACAGAAAGAAACAGAAGGTGAGGTTCCTGTCTCAAAAGGCATTTTCGTTAGTGCCGAGAAATAAGCTAAATAAATCCTTCAGCTTTTAATATTCACAATACAAGAGTTCTCCATGTACTATTAGAGGAAAATTCATAAGGTAGTATGGGGATTTTTTTTTCCAGTAAAATGTTATAGACAGTAGGTGCTAGAAGTGGTGGCATGAAGTTCTAGTGATGAGGAAGTAAGAACTAAACTGCAACTAAAGGAAGAAAAGGTTTGAAAAAGAAAGGGTGAGGAAGTCCACACAATTTATAAGGGAGCTCACATTTATGAAATGCTGTTATAGGTTAGACATTTTACTAGGTACTTTGCATAATATATGAGATAAAAATTGCTGCCCCATTGTCAGATGGGAAGCTGATGGGTAATTTCCCTTGGTTAAAAAAACCAGCCAGCAGAGGGAGCAGAATTTGAGTGCAGCTCTGTTCCAAAATCTGCTCTTTCCACTACAAAATTCTACCTAGAGAGCTGCATTAATGCATCATAATCCAAGCCTCTCCAACTGGGAGGTTCTGGGTGAACTCACATTTATATTCACATTTCACTAGCTCCAAGACCCTGCCACATTTTCATTTAACAAGTCTAATTTCACCAAGTGAATTATTCTGTCCTGCACCAGTGTTTATCACCTGGGAAAGCTCGGCCAGCACTGACTCGGACTGCTTCATGCAACCATCACACACAGCCCTGCTCCAGTCACCTCTGTAATTCTCTGAAGCCTAGCAGTTAGCTGTCTCTCTCACTGTAAGAAGGCTGGTATGTCCCCTTTCTGTGTTCCTCTCAGTGGGTACTGTGGTTTATATGTTGAATAGCCTTCAGATTTCATGGGTTAATGGATTGGTCTGCAGTGTGGTGCTGCTGAGAGGCAGTGGAAAGTTGGAGAGGCAGTGCCTCCTGGGACATCCTTAAGCATTGGAAGGGTGCCCCTGAAGGGGACTGTGGAACTCCTGCTCTTTCTTCTCTTTCTTCTTTCTGGCCATGAGATAGGTGATTTTTGCCCTACTGTGCACTCCCACCATACCTCACCATAGGCCTAAAGCAACAGGGACTGAAACCTCCAAAACTGTGAGCCAAAATCAACCAATCAGTCACTCTCTCTCTCTCTTATTTATTTATTTATTCTTCATTCATTTATTTTATAGTACTAGGAACCAAAACCTGGACTTTTTCACTGAATACCTCCAGTCCTTTTTCATTTTGTGACTTACCAAGTCACTAAATCGCCCTGGCTGACTTGAGCTTGTGATCCTTCTACTTTAGTCTCCCAGAATGCTCGGAATATGGGCATGCACCATCATGCTCAGCTAACCTTTTCTGTTTATGGGTTGACTGTGGGTATTTTGTTATAGGGATGGGAACTAACACAGGTGGGATGGGAACTAACACGGGTAGTTTGGGGCTGCCAAGTAGAAAGTGATTTGAGGCAGAGCAGTGTTGATCAGTACATCAATTCATTCATTTCAATATTTATCAAGGGTCTTTATGTGAGGAAGAAGTGAGTAAAATCAACCAACCCAGCTCTTACAGCCACTACTGTTATTTTAGCATTTGGATGTAGATAATAAGCATGACAATTGTTAATTGTGGTAAGTGCTATTAAGAAAATGAACAGAATGCTATGGTAGGAAATAATGATGGACAATGAGGGAACGGTTTGCCTCCAAAATATTAGATTGTTTACATGTAAAGTGTTGAAGCTTCTAATAAGATAGCTCTTTTTTTTGACATCTGTGGAATTTTTTAATATAATAGGAAGAAAGGCATGAGCCTAGAATTCCCTTTACATTACAAATAAAGTGCAAATATAAAAAAGCTTCACTTTTATATTTTCACTTACTCTTCAATAAGTGAACAATACTTCATCAATAATTACTAATAGCTATTTGATAAATATAATTTCCACATAGTGTTTTGAGAAATCAAGAGACTACTGCATGTTTAGAAATCAGGACTACTCTACAATACTTTCAGACTATTTTCCAATTATATTTGCATATTCTCTAAGTGAAGAAAGGTGTAGAAAAAAATCAGTATTTTTCAACATTAAGGTTTTAAAATTCTTGATTAATGGCATAATCTAATTATAAAATTATTATATTTTGATATTAACCTCTTTTGTTTCAGGTGATACCATAAGGCTGCATATACATAGATCAACAAGCAGAAACATATGAAAACAAATTTATCAGGATGGTTTGTAGTATCTTCTTAAGTGCAACAATGAAGGAGAAAAATTACAAAAACTGTTAAATGCTAATAAATGAAGAACAGAATTATTATGTAAATACTTGTGAATTAATATGCTTTAATATACCAAATTATTTAATCCAAAATGTAAGTGTGTTTAATATTCAGGAAGGTGAAATCACTCATTAGATGGTGTATTTTCACCTGCGTTGAAATTTGTTGTTGTTATGAAAATCAGTTTGTTCAGCTCTCAAGTATTTCTGAATTTCATTTCCTTAGTTGTAAAATAAAGGTATGCCTTACATTTTTATAGCTGTCCTCATGACCACCATTACTTTTGTTTCTGTGACCTCTCCCTCTGGGTTGTTTATTTGGCCTCCTATAATGAATTGCTCTTTTTACACTTCCAATTGTACTCCAACTATTTGTGCTGTTCATTTGAATTTTCAATTCTTATGTTGTTTGCAGTCCTTGCATATACTTCCACTTCAGTTTCATCACAGTTTGCGTTCTTCAAATTGCGTAAGAGACAAAAAGCTGACATGGTTATTTATCACTGATTTTACTAAACTTTGAACTATTTAATGTACACAAAATCATAAAAAAGCCCAGAGATTGACACATTACTGTTTTTTAATATAATGATAATTGCATTACATCAAGATTTCATACATGGTAAAATATGGACCTTATAATGATCAAAAGTTTCCAAATGTATGTACTTGCTACTACATGTTAAGGTCAAAATATAAGTTAAGGATTTGGTTTTTTTCTTTTTGTTTTTTTGTTTTGAATTTATATTGAATGTTTTATTTAAAGGCTGTAACATGAAAAAAGAACACAACACAGATTACATTATGATGACCAAGGCAGTGTTCTACATGACAGAAATTAAAACAAAACAAATGTATCCAGTAAATATACCAGTGCTGAACACAGTACTTGAAATTTAACCCAAGCTGCATATGCATAAAATAATCTAACTGAAGGATTATGCAAAATAAATTTTTTTAAAACACCAAAATGTCAACCATTCTGACTATAAAGTGACTTATTCCCCTAAAGAGTATTTTGAGCTAATTTCTATATAACATGAAAAGAACTGACATAACACTTAAATACTACAAAAATAGTTGAAAACATATTTTAATGCAGTTCTCTATAAAATATATAGTTAATCTTATTACTTAAAAAATTGAAAAGCAAAAGACCACTCTGAATAATGGTGAAAACCTCAACAAAGAAAAATGTTCATCATTTGGATATCACTGGCAAAAAACTGATAAGATTTGGTTGAGGGGAACAAAAAAGGTATGTAATGAAGACATTCATGTAAAATTTGTTCAAAAATGTTCATAAAGTCGTACATTTCTGCTTATAACATCTTAAATTATTATACCATGAACACACTTTCTACTATTTAACTGGAGGACAAAAGAATATCTTGAAGAAAGTGTTTCTCAAAATGAGGTTCAAAAGTCCAAAAGAATTCTAATGTAGGCTCAGTAATCAACATGGTAAACAAACACCCTGGGTGATTATTCTACACTCTGAAATGCCCTAGGGAAAAGAGCAACACTGAAAAGCAAGATCCTAAACATATTTCTGACGTGTTAGAATTCTCTATAAGTTTATGTTGTGAATACTGCTTTTTGTTTTAAAACAAGTTTCAGGCATTAAGGGAAACGTACATGCCTCAGAAATGAACAGGAGAATGTCTATAAACATTTTCCTTTGATGTTTTCATTAGTTCCAAACTAAATTATGTGAAGAAAAGACAATACACAAGTACAAGCTTTGGAAAAGCAATACTTCTCATGAAATGGGGCATCTAAAAATGGTTAAAAGATAATTTCCCAAATGTTTACAAATCTCAAATCATTCCGAATTCAAAACCAGATCATTAACTAAAATTAGGATGCTATATATCATCCTTCTGTTTTAGTATCATTTTTATGCCAAGGATGTGAAAGGTAACCATCATCATCTAAATGTAAATAAGTTGTAATGGTACAATCTTAGTTTAATTTAATTTTAGTTAATGATCTAGTTTCAAATCCAGAATAATTCAAAACTTATAAACATTCAATAAATTATCCCTTAATCCTATTCAGATGCCCCACTTCATGAGAACCATTACCTTTCCAAAGCCTGTAGTCATATATTGTATTTTCTTCATATAAAAAAGATACAAGTATATGTGTTTTTATTCACAATTGTTGGTATTTTTTGGATTTTCCTGAAGACTTCATAAACTGACCCCAAAAGGTGGTCAGTTTCAAAAGTGTGGTTGGAGAGAAACTAGCATAGATAGGCAAGATATTTTACTGAAAAGACAAATTGTTTTCTTGTATCATAAGTAAAAAGAAAAAATATTAGGCATTATGTCCCACTCAACAAATGGAATGTATATACAAGTGTGGTTAACAAGCGATTGCCTCATTGTTATTTAAATCAGTTCATAAAAATCTAATCTATGAACAAAAAATTCCATATTCTGTACTATAGACTATAAGAATCAAGTATTACATCTAAATATAGCTTCAAAAAAATAAATTAAAATTAGCTTCCAGACATCTCTGAAATGGTTAATTCTATCTAGGCTGGTAACAAGTTTTTCCAAGCATTAAATGGAAACATAAGCAAAATGCATAGTTGAAAAATGGGGTTCAGACCCCTTCTTCTTCATACATTGTAAGATGATTGATATACTCAAAACCTGCAAATTCATATCCATCAAGTTCCCTCATGACATCATTATCATCTGGGGTGAGCTGGACAGTTTCATTAGTAAATTCAGGATCAAAGTTGTCCAAACTGAATCACTCAGAGATATTTGGTTTAAATGGAGGCACCACCTGCTTTTGCTACAACATGTTCCAGTCCACATTTTGAAAGAATGGATGCTCCTGAATATCAGCAAAGCCCCTGTGAGGATGACAACCCAGTCGTTCTTTTGGGTCCTTGTTCAGAAAACTCTGTAGGACACTTGAAGCTTGTACAGACAGAAAACGAGGTATAACAATGTCTCTTTCCAAGATTACTTGCAAGACATGCTCGATTTAATTTTCATAAGGGTTATCAGAGCTTTCATCAAGATGGAATAGAGACTCTCCAATCATCATGATATATATTACGACTCCAAGATTCCACCAGTCCACGCTGAAACTGTAATCTTCCCTTCTTATAAATTCTGGAGCCATGAAATTAGGGTGCCACAGAAAGTGTGGGTCATGTCTCCTGACTGTAAGCCTTCCTTACACAAGCAAAAATCGATGAGTTTAATGTGCCCTTCTGAGTTGAGTAATACATTTTCCAATTTTAAAATTCTGTAAAGTATTCCTTGGCAATGAAGATAGTTGACTGCTAAACTGATTTCTGCAGAGTAAAACCTGGCATGTTCTTCAGAAAGCCATCTTTGTTGCTGCACATGAAACAGTAGATCTCCTTCACTGACATAGTCTAGAACAAGGAACAGTCTGCTTTCTGTCTGGAAGCAAGCATGCAGTGCAACTAGAAAAGGACAATTGGATGCCTGCTGTAGAATGTGCTTCTCTCTCTGTATCCGATCAATGTCAACATGCTCTTTTTTCACTCCTTTCAGTGCATACATATGATTTGATTTTTTCAGTCGGACTAACAATATTTTCCCATAACTTCCTCTGCCAATCACTTGGAGCAAATCGAAGTCCTCAAGACCTAAACCAGATGAAGCTTTGCCACTTTCCCCAGTGTTCCCTGCCTCATTCTCTTCATCAGCTTGTTCTAAAGCCTCATGAGTTGAAAGGTTATGTGGGATCACTGTGTGTGCAGGGTCTGAAGCCATGGATGATGGATTGACTGGCACCATGGGCTCTGATGGTAAAGAATGCTGCCCACATTCAATTGTGACAAGTTTGTGGCACTTCTTGTGAACTGAGAGTTTACAGTTGGTGCACTTATACACCTGGTGGCCAAGTCCCCCTACACAGTCTGTGCAGACAGCACAGAGAGCTCATCTGCTGAAGTGTTTGGCCTGAAAAGTGTGGCCATTCACATAATACAGCGTTCTCCAGTGGCCTGCAGTTCTGTGGTGGATGGATTTCTCTCCTCCTGGACAAGGCACTTTAGGTTGTTCTGGTATAGAAGGCGATGAATGAATTAAGAGCTCAGAATCTTTCTTTAGCTCAGAAAGCCTAATGGCCTCTTGTAACTCCAACTGAGGTGACACAGTGTATGGGTCTCCTTCCTCCTCTACCCAGTGCATGGTGAAAAGCTGTTTACTGTCCAAACATCACACATCTCAATCTTTATCACACAGGCCCTCAAATGGGATGGAATTCTGAAGAGATCTTGTCATGATGTCTCTTCCGAAAATCAGGGCTGATTGGGTAGAGGTGTGGGTGGTGGAGGTGCCTGGGAAGAAGGGACCATAGATGCATTGGCTGCCCAGGGAAACAGGCAGGCAGGGCTCAGAGAACGAGAGTGGCTTGACTGCCTGCAGGGACCACACTGGCCAGGATTCTGCAAGGCTGTCTGTGAAGTTGTTTCCAATAGTGGTGGCCAGGCCTGGATGGATGTACACCAGGCTTCTCAGTGTCTCTCGGGGGCCGATGGCTGTGACTTTGGTCTCGCTGCCTGGATTTTGACTCTCTAGGTTTTCTGTGCCCGGCTCTGGGGAGACCTGCCCAGAGCTACTGGATGTTTCTGGGCCTGGTGATACTTGCCCCATGCTCTTCCCAGTTTCTGTGCCATTGGTATTTGGGCTTAAGGAGACTTCACTGGGGTACCTTGATTTTGGTAGGTCACTGGTGGTCACTCCCGGAGGGACCGTCCCCTGGGGTGTGGCTGCTGCAGCATGGCCTGTGGCATCTGGATGGAGTCAGCTGTCTTCTTAGTCTTTCACAGATACTTTCTCTACCTGGGGTCCTGAGGCTGCGGTCTCTCGAATTGGAGAAACAGCTCAGCATGTTCTCTGTTGACCATCTCCAGCCAAGTGAGCTTGAGTGCAGCTGTTACTAGATTGTGACACCCATTAACAAGGGTTCCAAGTTCTGTTTGGAGACGTTGCCAAGGAAGTGAACTCATGTCTTCGGGTTCCAGGACCCGAGTCTCTATGTAATAGAAAAGCCTATAGCCCTGTAGGGATAGATACCCCTAGGCAGGGAGAGATGAGGTTCCCCCCACAGGCGTTCAGATAGCTGGCAGAACAGGCTTAACCACTCATAAAAAGCTGACAGTCTGCTGAGGTTGCACCTCCTCTTCACACTGTATCCTGCAAAGCTTGGTTTGCTAAGATCAAAAGGAAAAAGAACCTTGGCCCTAAGATGTAAAGGGCC